CCCCCCCCCCCCCCCCCCACTTTGTAAACTCTGGCTACGCCACTGATGTCAGATGAGCCTATCAACACACAACATAGACAATTATTTCCCATAAATTAATATAATGTGTTTCTATATGTTAATGCCAGGAAATGGAAGGAAATTTTGTGAAAAAGAAGGAAATTTCGAGTTATTGGGAATGAAATTAATTTTTTGAGAGTGAATAAACACAAGCTCTTTTTCAGTAAAATTTTGCTGGACCTAAGGGAGTGTTCATTATTTATGGGTTTTTTTTTGGGGGGGGGACTGGAGAGGCGGTGAAATTATAGGGGGGGTCACCAGAGTTTGAGGGGGGATCATGAAAGTTTTAGTTCTGGCATTACTGGCAATGTTTTGACCTCTTTACATCATGTGAGTTATGCTGTTGCCCGAGGGTGAGTCGTGTAGATATTGAGAGGGAGGTGTGAAATTCTGCCCCCCAAACCATAAATAATGAACACTCCCTAATATATTCCCCTCTTCATATTTATAATACACCTAACTGCCGCTTCTTTTTAATACTAATTCTTCATTTTTTCTCCAAATTCAGTCTAATTTTAAAGATGCGGTACAGTCCGTATGTAAACAAAGGCTTTGTTTACATTTCGGTATGCAAAATATTGAATTTTATTCGGCAACTATTTATATTTTCATGATTCTAGAGTATATATATATATATATATATATATATATATATATATATATATATATATATATATATATATATATATATATATATATATATATATATATATATATATATATATTTACCTTTCCCGGTCGCCCATCGGTAACATCTACTTTATTGTGTAATTGTACACTCTGTAATATGTTATATATATATATATATATATATATATATATATATATTGTGTAATTGTACACTCTGTAATATGTTAAGATGAAAATGTTCTAGAGTGTGTATTATATAATTTCCATACTCAGTGCAAGCAGAAAGATGTTGTCTGCCGCGGCTGGGTCTTGACAGGGGCGCCGGAGCCACGGGGGCAGCGGGGGCAACTGCCCCCATTGCCCGAACAGTGCGGGGGCAGCACGGGGGCAACAGGTTGCCCTTTTTACCGAAAGTGCACTTCGAAATTCATGCGTTATTCACAGGAATTGGAATTTATAACTATTTTTAAGCAATGTTTAAGCAATGTTTAAGCAATCTTTACTTAATTTTTATTTATTTATTTATTTATTTATTTATTAACTTTACAATCATACCAAAAATATAACAATGATTGAAGGTATGGTCAACAGGACATGAGTCCCATGTGAAGACCAACCTGATGCAATACAATAAGTAGACATACATTAAAGACAAGGACTATTTACATAGCTATATAAAAATTAATAGTTTAGATTATGAGCAACAGCTTAAGTTGAAAGAACGGCATTTAGAGCAGTAGGTTTTCCAAGTGCGCATTCTGTTAACATCGAACGAAGAGTCTAATTGAGAAGAGTAGTGAGAATGGAGCTGGAACTTAAAGGATGAAACAGACGAACTGTTACGAATGATTGGAGAGAGATTGTAACCAGCTGCAGGAAAATTAATACTAAATCAAGTAAGATACGTCCGTTTACCAATTTTATTTTGCACCTTCAGCAGGGTTTAAAACAGCCGCCGTTATAACGAAGCTGTTATCGACTCCATGGATCTGTGGCCAATGCTCTGGAAGATGAAGCTGGAGGAAGCGCACGGGAACTGTGGGCACCGATCGATCTGTGTCTCTGCCGCCCCTCCGGCAATGCATGCAGTCTGAGAGTCGTTCATCTAGTACTTGCTTGTAGTAAAGTCTGGCAGGCGCAATAGGTTGAACGAACGTAACTTGACTGATTTGATGCGCAATAAAGTGACATGTCCAACATGCATGTTTCCCGTGAGCGTTTTTTTGAGCTAGCTTGCTGTGGACTTCTGGAATAGTGATAAATCACCGAGGAAGACCCAAGGGAAACGAAAGCAATATGCTGCAAGAGGAAACGTATAAAAAAGGATAAGAGGGAAGAATTCCTTAGAGATTGGTTGAAAGACGTTGGAGCTGAGGGCGAAGAGGAATCGGAGGGTGAGGAAAATGAAGAGGAGATGGAAGCTGATTTATCGAGGAAGTTGCCCCAGAACCGGTCAAGAAATCGCATTAGTTCATCTGCTCAGTGGGAGTTGTCGGACAGCTCCGAAGACAGTGATCGTGACTCGGACCCTCTCCTGGGCGGAATGAGAAGCAGTGACTCTGAGTTACCGTGACTGGTGATTCCAACTAAACTATAGTACTCTGCGGTTCTATAGTGTGTCAAGTGAAAAGAATCCAAAATGAACTGAGCACCAGATTTTGTAAACGGTGACCGATTTTTAGTCGTTTACGATGTATTTATAAATTTTAATATTGATATAGACTATTTAACTTCCCTACAAAAAGTTTAAGTTCGGTTTTATTAAGCTATAAAAACAATATTTTCTTGTTTTGAACTAATTTACATAGAACTTGTTAATGTTTGTTCCTACCCCAAATAAAATGTATTGCTGTGTTCTTACAAATGTAGTGTTGGTTTACATTACTATATTATTTGGCCTATGCCCAAAAATGATGGCAAAGAAACAAGTGCCCTTTTGAAATGGTTGCCCCCGCCGCTTCACATTGCTTCCGGCGCCCCTGGGTCTTGAACCCGCGACCTTAGAATTACTAGATCGACGCTCTACCAACTGAGCTACACGGTCAGACGAATTTAAGACTGGAAATTATGAAATATATACTGAATGTCATAAACATACTCGTTTATCTTAATTCAGCATCGAACAATACTAGTTCTGCAAGTGTTATGTTAAAACATAAGTCTCTGTATCACTGTATGATCAAAGTCTCTGTATCACTGTGTCTGTATCAGTATGGTCAAAGTCTCTGTACTTTTGCATGTGTATGATGCTGGAGAGAGCAGAACCTCGAACTCCAAATTATTCCCCGCTGATTAGTCCACGAAGGACAAAACATTTCGTACAGAGATATCGGAATTTAAATATTTATAAATACACACTACACACATTTCCTTCCTAATACTAATTCAGTAATTTCCCCTTCCCTCTTAATATTTAAAGGATCTGGCACGTACCACCCCCGGTTTATTGTTGTCACTTGGTAACCGTGCGCTTGGCTGCTTTCGAATTCCAAGTTTGAAATATAAAACACTGCATGCCAAAGAGGATTTTCGGATATTAAAATGCTCAAGAAAACGTCTGAAACGAGCTTCGATGAAACGTGGAGCTTATAGGACGATAAGCAGGCATAAGTCGAAATGCTACAGCTATATTTCTCGCTATATGTGAAGCTGCAGTAGTTGAGTGGGGTAAACTCGCTGGCTGCTACAACCTCACACTGTATGTCTAGAATTTTATACTTGTTATAAAATTTAATAGTTATCGCTATAATGCCTCTACACGACTATACAACTGGGAATGTGATAGGCAAAGGGACTTACGGGGAAGTGTCTTTGGTTAAACACAAGAAAGATCGAAAGCAGGTACGTTGTAGACATATTTATCGATGATTCATTCCCATTAAACAATAGACAATACAGACAATGCTATACGTTTCAATGACAAACGTGTGGTTTGGATTGAGTATCCAATTACTTTGTATAGAAGCTGACAGGATTATATGAGTGCATGGTTTTTTATGCTATTGATACGTCCAGAACAGAGTAATTTGTTGTAAACAGGTTGTCCCTGGAGTTACAAAAACATTTGTGTGTCATACACTGGTACACACAATTATATCATGTAGTGTCTACAGGCTTTGATTTTATATCACAGTGTGCAAGCATGATAGATTATGGTAGAATACAGGGAACAAGCGATGTATGCTATATATATAGCCCTGACTGAGGGTGTGTGGCATATGAGGGCTGTATATAGCATACATCCCGATGTTCGACTTCTTTCACGATTGAAGAGGTTTCCCAACAATAGCCAAATTCATATTAGGGACGGGAAACTCATCTTAGATGGGAAACTCGTCTAATATGAATCCGGGGGCAGACGAGTTTCCCGTCCGAACTTTCCCGTCTAACTTACCCGTCCACACAGACGGGAAAGTTAAAATTCGAATTTATTAGTCCCTAAATTCATATTCAGACGGGTTTTAACAGATGAGTTTCCCGTCCCTAATATGAATTCGGCTAATGCGTTGTCTATTTTGTTCAAGTTGGACAAACATTTTGCCAGATTTTTTCTGATTTCTTATTTAATTGATATTCATACTGTGGTATGCCAAGGAAAACCATTCAATCATAACATAAGGGAATTAAAATAGTAAATTAGATTTACATACTATTAGATGTTTATTGTAACTTAAGGATTGCCAATCATAATCCAATTAAAATGGGGGTGCTCCTTGAGCCTTAAATCATGGGAGAATTTGGGTAAATGGAACTATATACAGCAGTGTTCTCACTGGGAACTGTTGAAACACTGCTCTAGGCAGGGCCGGGCAATTAGTGTTACTGGTGGTAGGATATTATCTTTCAAAATAAGAAATGGATTTGATAAGGATATTGGCAACTATAGTACTGATATCAAACATTGGATCATTCCAGAAAAGATCCAAATTCCCCCAAGGAGGAAATTGGCAAGGGAGAAAAATTTGTTTCTGATAATACTGTAGCAAGTGTATTAGGTCACATCCGAAGGGGGTAGAGGCGTTTAACTTCCATTTTCCTCTGTGGGGTACATATGGATGTTTTCTGGAATGGCCCGTTTTTATAAGATGTTATTTTGTATTACAAAATTTATCAAAAGGGAACTCTTTTAATCCAAATGAAAAATTTATCAGGGAACTCTTGTTGCCTAATCCAAATTATTTGATAAAGAAATAAAGGCACTTGGCCTCCCCTTGCATCCCCCTTTGCCGAGGCTGAGAGAGGTACAGTATGCATCCCCTCACACCCACAGTAAATCCATCTCTACTTAAATGAACCTGTGAACAACTGATTAATGCCTGGGGATCATCTTTATGCAGCCTGATAATGAGCCAGTGTAGTTTGTAAATGCACAATTGTGGAGATTAGCTGGTAAGAGTATAAACACAATCAAAACCAAAAAGTGTTGTGCATTTTGTGAGGCTGGATTTCACAAAAAATACTCCATATACAGAGATCAGGCTAAGCACATGTATGGTGTGCAAAGCTATTTTTTACTATTTCAGGTGCACAATTTCCTAGTCCGAGTGATGAGTCATGATGCATTAATTTAATTTAATTATATCAATGTCGTTCTCAACAAGATGAATTGAGAACATAATGACATGCAAGTCCCAAAATACTGCCATGTTATAAAATTTAAGATTTTACAATTTAAATCCAGAGTACCAAAATCTGAGTACTTATATTACTGTCTATGATTTATTTAATGCATTAAAGGGGCATGACATTACATTTTTGTAGCTGTGATGAGTGGGGGCATTTATTGGATTTCTTGGGCCTCAATTAGAGAGAGGCATTTATTCAGTTTTACAATTCTTACACAAGTCCGAGGTTTCATTTTTTGTTCAAAGGCAGTAAATGCGAGGAATAATTGAGAGACATCCTAGCTATGGCTTTGGATGTAACCACGAGAATCTTTCGACCAATTCCCTGACCGTGGTATTTGGCATGTATACGCGCAGACATGAAGAACTGACAGTCTCCCTTTCATCCACAATTATATGATTTGCAAGCTGACAGCTTTGCCATAACATTATTCTCCACTATCAAAATTCTGCGATTTGTGTCCTTTAAACAGTTCAAAAACTCGAGAATTAGTTAACCATTGCCTCTATGCACACCCTCTGATATCTCTGAAACGGCTGGTAAATCTGTTTTAACAGCAAGATGATGCAAGCCATTGTAGTAAACCAATTGGATGTTTGCTCGGTTGTTTGAATATGAACTAACTGAACATTATGTATATCTGAGTGCTGCATGTGTTTTTAAAACATCTTACAATTAAGTTGTAATTACTAAATAAATATATAAAGAAGAATCAGAGTACCGAGTTCTTATTGGTCGTCATGCTCATGTGGTGTTCCTGTACAAAGGTAGGAAAGAGTAAATACTTCCCCTAAAAATATGAGCCAAAGGAGCTCTGGCAAATAAAAGGCTACGTTTTTCTGTAGCCGTGCAGCAGCTAATCTTCTTTGCTTACAGTATTATAAGGGTTACTTCAAATTACTGAGTTCTTATTGGTTGTTCAGCTTCAAGTAAAAGAAACAAAATATCGAAAAAGAAATACCGATAATATCGATATTTCGATATTTATGTAACCTTAAGCCTGATTTTGCCAAACGTAAAAGCCTTCTTAAAAACAGTATTGTGAAACGGTAACTATCTACAGTATATATAAGCACATGCATACAATACAATAACAATACAATAAACACATAAGGTAAGCACATACAATATTCCATATAGCACATATGATGTGGTAACTATCTGTAACATATTAAGTAAGCCTGCGCGCATACAATCCTCTAGAACGTAATAAATAGTAATACTGACAATATATCAGGAGTTTTGTTAATATTTATAATATGGCAGGCTGTATTGTAAAAATAGGCATCTGAACCGAAAATGTGCATGGTACTGATCCTTTACCTTTTCCAATTTACCATCTTCCAGCTGTTGATTGAGCACCTGGGGTGGTGCATGGTCATTTTCTTGTAAAATATTATACTGGGACAAATGTTTCCTTCCAATGACCACCCCTAAAAGCAACCCTTCTACACACTATAAGCACTTCTGAAAGGCTAACTCTTTTCCTTTTCGGAAGTAAGAGCTATGTCGACACTGCCGTTTCAGGGCGGGGTCATTTTCATGACTTTCGTCCCGGATTCAGGTTTTGCATGGCACATATGCTATGATGACCGCCATGGTCATTTTACCCTAAAACAGTTGAGATTACCTGTCCTAAATGAAACGCATACAAACTCATATACAGTCCTGGGCTACAAATAGAATTAGCTATTTTTCCTGGTTGTTTCCCAAACCTGTTTGACATGTTTTTACAAATAGCCACTCATAATATCGGTAAAATTTGCAAGCGACCCTAGAGCGGGTCATTTCCGAATTGCGGTCGCATGCCCATAGACCACAATTTGAAAACGATGCTGCGTGCTAAATTGTATTGTTTCTTTAGCAAATTAGAACTAAGCTATGCTAGAATATCGTGTGTAAAAACTCCGAGCGGAAGATTGTATACATACATATAAGTCATTACAAGAACTTGTGGTCAATGCTCTGCAGTTCAGTTGGTTAGAGCCCTGCACTGGAATCGCAGAGTAATTCGATCCTTGCTAGAGGAGCATTGGGCCTATATACTGTAGTTGCCTTTTTCGAAAAAGGGGCACAAAAGCCTTGCCATTTATATTGATGCTGTTGACTGTTAATTTAAAAATCCGATTTAGCCTCACCTCGCATAACAACCGTAACAGAGAGTTTTTTACTTTTTATGGTTTGACGGAAGAGAATCATGTCAAACTTAACCGACTCTCTGATGTTAGTTGAAAGAAAACAACGGGAGAGTCAAGAAATGGGGTGTGGTCGCGGGCGTGGCTCACACTTAACTCTCCGAAGTCTTAACTCTCCTTGTGATAACTCTCCGTTTAGTCATACCCGGATAATATATTTAGCATGCATGGTATTTAAGTCGCCTCCAAATATTTCTCGCCAAACATTATTCGGGTAATTTTATGATAAACAGATCGAAAACTATGCTAAATAAATCTTCGGATACACGAGCAATATTTTTGCTGTGATGGTTACGCAATGGTTGATGAAGTGTTGCGTTGTCGTCGCACAAGGTAGCTACACCTGCAATATTTCACTTGCAATATACGTCTTTATAACGCTTTTCATTGGGTGGTCAAGAAACGTGTCAATCATCAACCTTGACCTTCCTTGACCATACCTCCCAATTTTCGCCAATCATTGCCAAAAATCAAATGATTTGAAATTTCGGCAATGATTGCGCGAAGCTTTGCGTTGCCGTCGCAGAGCACATTACACGTCAAGCAATTTCTTTCTCGCGACGGCAATGCCACGATTTTACCACCATTGCATTGCCGTCGCCAGAAAAATATTGCCCGTGCATGTATCCGTAGCTTAAAGAATGATTGTGATTTCCACAAAAGTTAAAGTACATGCACGTGTCCCGAAGATTAGCAGTATACTCTTGCATCATATTATTTCCATTTTTTTCATTCTTTAGTATGTGATCAAGCGGGTCGACATTCACAATGCATCCAAACGAGAACAGAAAGCAGCCGAACAGGAGGTACAGTAAGATATAATCTTTTGGTTTGGAAAACATCATGTACCTCAGTACCTGTATATTTATCATTGCAAAGCTTTCGATCCGTATGCTTGGATCCGTAAGCTTGGATCGTGCTAATTAATTAATTGGCACATTTAATTAAATAAGTGAGCAATGGCGTGATCTTGTTTTATTTAATTTGTTGTTTTTGAGTGAAAAAGCCCGAAACGTTTCCAAAACGAAACACACCGTTTCAATTTGTTTTGTTAACCTTACTGTGCATCTATCTTGTTTTATTAGTTGATGGGACGCTTATGCAGCTATATGTAGGTTTCGGCCTTAAACTATCCATTAGTTATCCGAGCTTTCCGTCCACTTTAGCCCTTAATATCCAAACATTTATCCCTAAATATCCTCTACGCACGCCAGCACAGAATAAACACTTACAAGTACAAATGAAGGAGATAGAAATGAGTCTTGAGATAAAAATCTGAGATAACCAATTTCTTGGTTAATTGTTTTAACCAATTTGTGTTTACAGTTATATTAGATTATCAATATGATTGTAAACTTTCTTTTGAAGGCTAAACTACTGTCTCAAGTAAGACATCCCAATATTGTTTCGTATAAGGAATCTTTCCAAGGTGACGATGGATTTTTGTATATTGTCATGGCATTCTGTGAAGGTGGTGATATGTACTCCAGACTAAAAGATCAGAAAGGAACTTATTTGGAGGAAAGGCAGATTGTGGAATGGTTTGTCCAGATTGCCATGGCACTTCAGGTACGGTACAGTACTGAAGCCATTAATTATTAAAATAATTAATGTTTTTATGGAGGGTATTTCGCAATGAAATTAACTAGCAAAATATTTTTCCTTTCCGCAAATCTGAGAAAATATTATAATATTTTCTCAGATTTGCGGAAGGGAAAAATAAAACGTGCTGAGTGATATGTTGTGTCTGATGTGTGGTTTCATGTTCAGGTTATTGTGCGCTTCAGGTCGTGAATATTTCCAAACGCCACTTTTTATGTTGCATCAACCTGTCCTGCATTGCCATGCATGCAACATGCAATTTAAACCTCCGCGTGATATATGATATCAACCTCATGCATCAACCTCGTCTAAAAATATCTATAGAAAGTGCACATGTATAAAAAAACGGCGAATTATCCAAGATTCAAAATCAAAACAGATTTTTTAAGTATAGACCCGAATACGTTCTTCCAAACGTTGCGCTGTTTGGTGGTTGTGGCGTTGTACTTATACAGAGTGTTTACTTTTTTGTTGATGTAACTCTGAGGGTCTCCACACCGGGCAAACTGAATAAAATGTATTTCATGTTACTTCAATATTACAGTACCACTAACATTAATTTGTCGTGATGTTTAGTATCTACATGATCGACATATTCTCCATCGTGACTTGAAGACGCAGAATATATTCTTGACCAAAAGTAAAATCATTAAGGTAAGGCCAAAAATGGATGCGTTGTTTAGTATATGCATCACTTCGCATTTTATAACTGTTACATTCGAATGAATTAGTATATGTAGGCTGTATTATTAATACGTATTTAATAGGATGCATGGTTTCGAGTGCAATTTGGATAAAACATGCACCAGTTTTTCAAAGACCCCAAATAGTACTCGTCCTTCGGATGCTATATTAATGCTCTTTGAAACATGCATGTTTTATCCAAATTGCACTCGAAACCATATTACATAATACATATACTTAAATCTTTCACCACATACTGTATAACATCATGCGAAACAAACGGACGTGGTCATGTGGTGTTTTCTACCAAGACAAAACAATCATAATGATCACCATGGCTGTTCTGCCATAATAATATTTGAATGGTTATGCAGTACTGAACCATGCATGCAGTGTTCAACAGCTGAAAAACCTGCTACAACTTCTCTGCTGCTAATTTGCTATATTGCTACTTTTGTGAAAATTAGTCTTAAAAGTTTAATGTACAAAATATAAATTTTGTTAGGTTGGAGATCTTGGTATAGCTAGAGTGCTGGAGAATGCTTCAGATATGGCAACTACGTTGATCGGAACACCATATTACATGTCTCCTGAGTTGTTTTCTAATAAACCATACAGTTATAAGGTATATTATACAGGTTATTGCATGTATATATTGTTTTGCAAGCTGTTGTAAGTTGCAAGTCAAACTAGTAGTACTGCATGTAGTTGACCTGCACCACATGTAATTAACAAGAACTAATTTGCAATTACTGTAGTGCGCCATCGTGGCTGCCGACAAAATTTCTACGTTGCTTATAATAAATTTAATTTTTTTAATACTTTTAACCCAAGTTTTACTGCTGAAAGTTCATATAGCACTTCCTAAGAACACAATCTTGAAGGATTATATTGGATTATCAGTGGGTGGATCGTTCTCAGAAAGATAACTTATTTTGTCAGTGAATTCGCTTGTTTTTCAGGGCGCGAAATAACGGCCGGTCAACGGACAATGTCCGGCCAGAATGCGGAATTGTCCGCTCAAATTCTTACCTTGCCGGTCATTTTGACCGATCACTTTCGGTAAAAAAAAACAAACAACCGATCTTCATTTGAATTAATAATCAAAACAAAGTTGTCAAGCATTATAATTAAGAACCATAACATGTTGTCCAATATCTAGCGGGAAAAGAACTTCAATGTACGCCAGCTTTCCCACGCAGTACGTCACAAAGCCCATGGCCATGCTTTTGGCTTAAGAGTTAATTAAGGCCATTGTTTTAGCGCAGTGCAAGTTGTTTTATGTGAAGGACTTTTTAATTACTGATTACAGTAAAGCTCAGTTTTTGTAATGCTATACTGGGAAAATAGTCACATTTTTAGGGGTATACTTTACTATGCTTTAAGCTGAATAATTTGACTGGCCAGAAATTCGGTATGTCCGAGCTAAAATTGAATTGGTCGGTCACCCTGACCGGCGATCCTCCAGCCGTTATTTCGCGCCCTGTTTTTATATTCCGCTCTTGCACGAATAACATCAAAACCTCTGTATTTGGTCCCAGCCTGTTACTGTCAAACACCATGTCTCTCGCACCCAAGATCGACGAAGTAAGCTATTGCATCACGAAAAATAAACCTGACATAGCTTGTTTACCGAAACATGGCTTTACGACGCCATTAGTGAAGATTTCCTTCATATTCCTGGTTATATAACCTTATTTGTAAAAATCGAACAACTGTTGCCGTTGGTGTGGACAACAAACCTTATCGTATAAAAAATGCTTCCTTCCACGTCCTTAGAGTTGCCAGTTTAATTTACAAGTTTCACACCGCTTTTTTATATCTGTTTATATTCAAGATAATGTAGAAATTTAATTGCTGACGTGACGACGGCGCCATTTTTTTACAAGATTCCGCCGGCCCTCGCCAGATCGTGACCTTCACATGACGCAACGAGGGCCTGCGGAGGAGGCAGTGGCCATAGTAGCAGCGGCAAGGGGCCGCCAACGTCGGGGTCCTTAGTTCCAGCCCTAGGGCTCAAAAAGCATTCAAGGACCTTACTGTATGTATCTCATTTTATAGTCCGATGTTTGGGCTTTAGGATGTTGTCTCTACGAGATGTGCACTTTAAAACATGCATTCAACGCAAAGGATATGAATTCACTAGTTTATAAAATCCTCAAAGGAAAGGTTAGTGTGTTTTTATAAATTGTATATAGTTTGGAGTGGTTTATACTTTAGCACTTGAACGGTCGTCAAGATAGTTTGGAGAGGCTTAGCACTTGAACGGGTTTAGCACTTGAATGGTCGTCGAGATAGTTTGAAGGGGGTTAGCACTTGAATGGTCGTCAAGAGAGGTTTGTGAAACCACGTGGTGAAGAGTTGAGCCAGTTGAGATTGACTAAATTCAAAATTTTTATTTTTCGATACGTTTCTTAATCGGGAACCAAACTTAAAAAGTATGCTTAGTGCTTTATCTGTAAAATAATGCTAAAATGAAGCGATTTTAGTTGGTACGCCAAAGAGAAAATGATGGCTGAAGTTCAGTAAGTTTTGCTTATATGGCTGTAAATATATGGCGTCAATTTTAAAGCATCATTGATAATTGTATTTTAATTGACAATTTTTAACTATTATTTTATGTTTCTCAACCGGCAGATGCATTTAAAAAGGTTACTTGGTAACTCTACCTGTATAAACTAGAAGATAAAGCTAAAGCAAAGTAATTTTGAGAGGAACGCCAAAACGATTTTAGATTTTGAACACTTTTCATTGCAAATACGTGACATTGAAAAAAATAGCCTCTTAATTAGTTTAAGTATTAAAAATATGTGTGCTATCCTAATTGCTTGGAGTAATTTCATTCTGTTTTTATTTATCTTAATGCTCTTAAAGACGAATAACTTGCTGTTTTGTCGTTTTTGAGCCGCCATCTTGTTTTTTTTTGCTGGCATGATATGAGCTAATACCCTGCTAGTACAGAGCCAATCAGATTGCAGAATAGCTTATACCCGGTAGTTGTCTATGTAATATATAAAAATACAGTAACCTTACGATTACTATTTAACCCTCCTGTCAAGGGGCCTTATTCGCCCTAAAGTCGTTTTTTATCATTTTCATGCTGACGAATATCAAATCCACTGTTTATATATATAATTATATCTACATCGGCATCGCGGTAAAGCCTTCAGCACGATGTGGTCGTCTTATCCCACTGATGCTCACCTCGCATGGACAGCAAAAACCCAGTGAGCTCTATATATATCTGGAGCAAGAACTTCAGTCATTCGGCGTATAAGATGGCGGAATTGATGTCCAATGAAGGTTATAAATAGTTTTAATACCATTTCCACCAACTAATTTCAGGGTTTTTTCTTACGGACCGTATCAATAATCAAGTTATCAGTTGATAGAACTTAAATCGAAGTCAAAATACAAGATTTCGGCACACTTCTTGCAGACCGCGCAGAGAAAACGATAGAAAGGAACTGAAACTGTCGTCCAAACCCCCATCTTTGCCTTTGGCTTCACTTTTTAGACTTGAGTTCTCGCTCCAGATATATATGGAGCTCACTGCAAAAACCTTCATCCATAATTGTGAGTATATAATTCAATATCGCCAATTCCTTGCATTAGCTTCCGACTATGCCAAAGATTTACAGTTATGATCTTTGCGATATTATTCGCTCAATGTTGGGCCAAGATCCAGAGAAAAGACCGAGTGTGGCCAGATTACTGAGACATTCGTTTATTAAGAAGCAAATCGCTCTGTTTCTCGAGGGAACCAAGAATAGGTAAGTTGATATCATTGGTTAGTTACCTAAGACGGGTTCTATGATATAGATGAACATAAATTACTTGTTTTATCAGGCAAAAGAAAAATTTGAAAGCGAAAGAAGCACAGGCCAACACGTCCAAGTCATCTAAAGCATCCGATTCCGGTTACAGTGGTATGGATTCTCGCGAGGATCCTAAGACAAGCGACTCAGCGCGATCTAAGGTAACCGGTAACGAAGAAAGTAGACAGCCGGAACGCAATAATCGTGATATGAACTCAAATGATCAAGTGGTTAAACAGGAAAACGAGAGTCAGTTTTCGGCAAGGAATAAAGCATCGAAAGTTGCGTCTTACGAGGAACGCGAAGCGAAGGAGGTAAAAAAGAACTTAAAAAGTGAACAAAAGTCTCATGATGGACGCAAGTCTCAAGAAGGAAGGAAAGCTGAAGATGACGGTCGCGCTGAGTCGTCTGATCGCCAGGTATAGGAATACTATCGATAATATATATAGAGAGAGGGTTTCCAAAATTCTGACAATAGAAATACTAGGAAGGACCCTAAAAATAATCTGGAAACCGTTTTGTTGCATGAACATAGTATGATATTTAGTTAACGATGGTGCTTGTTTATCAGGGTTCGTACGGGTCCCGGAAAACCTGGAAAGTCATGGAATTTCAATATTCCAAAATCCAGGCCTGGAAATCCTGGAAATCAATTTTAGTCATGGAAAGTCATGGAAAATTGAAATTTTACATAACAGCAACAAAATGTTTTACTTATTTCAATTTACCAGTCATAACAATAATATGAACGGATTTTTGCAAGAGCGAAGTAACGGATTTTTGCAAGAGCGAAGTGAATTTTGTTCTTTTATTACATCTGTTATCGTTAAAATATTAACGAATTTCAGAAATTCCAGACTTCCAGGTCATGGATTTTGAAAAAATTTCTTGGGAAGTCATGGAAAAGTCATGGAATTTTAAATGGAAGAAGGTGTACGAACCCTGTTTTTTCTATTGTATGAAAAAACGCCGACACGTTATTTAAAGTGATTGTGTTAATGTGTATCGAATAATTACATGGTATGCGATGGCGATGATTACCCCATTTGAGCGCCAACGCTCTCCACCTTACAAGAATAAAATAGATTGTCTGGTGTTAGACAAACCAAAGTATAGAAATGTTTCGAATCTCCCGGCGATCCTGTAGAAGCGCTTGTGACTAATATTTTGTGAATTTCTTTTCTCTAAACAGTCCTCCAGATCTCGCCCACTGCCTCCGAAACCTCCAAGCCGAAATATTGTGGATGCCAGTAACAACCCTGACACGAAAGTCTCTCGTGAACGAAGGCGGTATAAAGTCTCTAAACAAACTGAAGAGAAAGGAAGCCTTGCTGAATCACCGGCAAACTCGAAGGAAAGGTAGGTGAACACTGCATGTGTGTGTGTGTCTTTCAAATATAATCTTCCTGCAGCCATATGTGAGGAAAACGCTTCCAATTTGAGTCCAATACATACCAAAGATTTTGTTTTGTCCAGGTTTTCTTCTGTATAGTGAGACAACAATATTTTCGCTGTACTCTGCAATGTCAGGATACATATGCAGTTGTTCACCGTTTAAACATAAAATACCGCTGCTATATACTCATGTTTTAGTGTTAATATATATCCTATAAACATTAATCTAAGCATTTGACAACTTGTTTCAAAATTTAGAAGTCCGATATAGTTCATCAATTTAAAAAAATATATAGTCTTGTCAAGCCCATGCATGTGATGGCAAAAGAGAAAACTTAAAATACAGAACATCATTTATGACATATCGAGCAATCATCTGAACTTATATAGTTATATCATTTTAATTCTTTTGCTATTCTTCACAGAATAATTTAGCATTGTCCGAATAGCACTGTCCGAAAACTGGGCAACATATACTGTATATTTCGAAAATAAACTCGCAAAGGCAAAGCTGAGGAAGTGTTCGACAAAAAGCGAATTTTAATGATAAAACCTTTTATTTTAGTGTCGGACATGAGGAACTGAAGCCTAAGGTGAGCACTCTATTAAAACTAAATAATAGGATGCGCATGCAGACAATTATATGTTTTGAAAAGATTCTGCAGGAAGTTATTTCAAATTAAATTGGTCTTTTTTATGTATACGTACTAAGGTTTCAAGTGGGAACCCAACATCTGCCAGGGAACGTCGACGACAGCGCGAAAGAGAAAGTATGGGCAAAGCACAATCAATTTTACCATCAAGTTTGAGTTCTGAGAAAATTTCGAGTTCACCAATATCCAGTGACACTAAAGGTTTGTTATACTGCTACTGTACGTGATCTGGTGATATCGAGACTGAGAGTTTTGTGTCAAATACAAATTAATTTGAGGATGTTACCATTGAATATTTTGCAAATGTATTTGTTTTTTTCTCATATATTTCTCATATAAGTCATATAAGCTCGTACGTGGTCCCATGAACTCGTTATTAATCAATTCATAATTAAACAAATGTATAGGAACTATAGTAATCATGCATAAAGACACCATATTCTCAGTTTAATTGTATAGACTTTAACATTGCAAAAATAGTAGATGCTATAGCTCTGTTTTAATGGGGGGATGTATAAGTTCAATTTTGCCGAGTCATCTCAACCACTAATAAAAAGTTTTCCGGATATTATATTCTCATTTTTATTCCCGTTATTTGGTTAACTTTTCCTTAATTTTTCCCTTCATTTCCCCAAATTAACAGGTCAATTAGACCTGTTAATTCGTTGCTGAATACGTAATTTGGTTTTCGATACATTTCCACTTTTATCTTTTCTAATTTCGTCTAAAAGGTAACCAACTATTTTGACCAAATATGTTCCATTTTGACCAAATTTTTTAACTTAAAAAATATTGGGTGTGTTACAACCCCCCCCCCCCCCCCCCCCCCCCCCCCCCCCCCCCCCCCC